ACTCAATATTATTGCACTAATAAAACTTAACAAAGACTTACATTATACAGATACAAAAGAGAAAAGTTACGTGAGCGATCACATGATTTGCAAAGTTTATGAAAACTTTATATCAAAATGGGAGAGGGAGACATCTCATTATTGCTGGCCAGCCTTGGCCTGTTTTCTGACAGGCCTCAAACTCCACCGCTAAACACAAGAGACGTCGAGACAACAAATACTTCGCCACAGAGGCGTTCCTTCTCTGTATTGGATGCCAGCAGAAGGGGAGGAAAATCAGTTAATGCAACGCGGCCACTTCAGTGTCTCATAAAAGCCCTCACAAAAACACATGTTTGTTTTTATGCTGTGCGTTTAGCCAAAAATGAGTAATACATCCATCATTTTTCCTTGCAAGAGTGACGTGACACTCAGGTCATGCACCCCATGTCTCCAGGCTTTGAAAGAGGCAATAAATCAATCTTGGCGCTATTACTTACAATTAATTGTGCTTTAAAGTTTTACAGTGTGTTTATGATATGCAGGGCCCGGATGATTTATGTGAAGAGTTTGAGTCACTCCCTCTAATGGCTGTTGTTTTCCTGGTTTATAACCCCCACATGACCTCACAGATTAAGCTGCCAGAATGCTTGAAACCGGGCCTGTTGCACTGATCCAAACACGGTACAGGCAAACCACTCACAGAAAATGACAAACACACATACCTGAGAGAACAAACATGGGCTAATCTGACACAAACCACGCCGTGTATTTTGTTTAATATACAAACTAAACACGTCCAAACAATTATAAACAGCTGTTTTAACACTTAGGATATGTTGTCATTAAAAGACGGAGAACAGCCGTGTCTCAAGTGATGCTATTAAGAGATAACAAGACATTATCTAAGATGGGAAAGAGAACATCATTTGAAAACAAGCAGAACACAATATGTCAGCAAGTAATTTTTGTCTGTACATAAAGCAGACCGGCATTCAGTATGGTTACAGTTTGCCCACAACGCCTACCCAATCCGCAGTGCTGTCCTTAATCAACCTTTTGTATATTGTACATATTGATTCAGGAATGTGTCGTGAAGGAAAAGTAACAAATCAGGTTCTGTATGTATAATAGCTGGTGCAAATACAGAACCGAGCAGAAAGCAAAGAGTGGTAATAAACCTGCTTCCACAGCAATCTGTTGGGTTGTATTGCCTTCCCCTGTTGAGAACCATATTCTTTGAGTTTTCTCTGAGGACACATTTGTTCAGTAAAATGATTCAGCAAACCCACTGAAGGCACATTCACAAAGCGCTATATTGCATGCTGTTTGTTATGTTTGAGAGCTTCGGGGAACTCATAACTCTCGAGCACAGATGAACGTGGCAACATACTTTACGGGGTACATTTGAGACTTGAAAAGGAAGCAAAACAACCAACCTATAGCCTTCTCTTTTTCCAGTGTTTCTTTTCAACAACGCCACAATCATGCATCACATAATGCAAAGTCATGGGTCTTAAACCATGCTGTCGATCTTAGATTTGGACTGTTTCCTTCAGCGCAAACTTAAAATGAACTGCCGTCTGCTGCAGAGTAAAACAGGTTAGTGTCTGGGGAAGCAAAAACAGAACTGAAAAGATCCACTTGAGGACTTTCCTGGCTGTGTCACTGTCAATTCTGCTGAAGAACCGTTACTCTGTGTGCAGAGACTCATGGGACCCGGGAGCTGGCTCGAGCCACCCTGCAATGCAGTCTGCTTTACATTATACGCAGAAGGATGTGGGGAAAAACTTGTGTTCATGCTAGAAAATCAAGTCAAATACTCCATCCAGACAAAATCTAAGTGACATCCGAGGAACATTTATACCCGCTGACGTAGCTACCAAGCCGTGCCTAGTAAGGGGGGAACCAAGGACCTACTTCATTCACTGTGAAACACTCTTAAACATGTGGCAAGGGGTAAATGTTATTCTACTAGTTAAATTTGCTACGCACCTTTTTTTAGCAGGGCCTGGGATCTGAAAAACAGAATGTACTGTCATAGTGTTTTGATAGACATGGCCGGTTTAACCCAAGGGTTCGACAGCATAATGTGGGCTCCGTGGCAGGGTGGAAGGAGGTGGAGGAACCGAGCCAAAACGTACCACATGTATTTTCCGAAAGCTGCTCAACACAGTCCAAATGGCTCTACGTGGTTTAACGCCATTTCATTCCATGACCTCTAAATCCTCAAAGAGAATTATCACATTATAGCATTCCAACACGCCCAATTTCCCAAAATACAGCTCAAGGCTTTTCCACTCTGACTCTGCTTAGTGTTGTGGTTTTGGGAAAACACTTCAATCGTGCCCGCTGCATTTTTTGTTGTTGTTTACTTCAGGTATTTATATATATTTTTCCTCTTTCTACTCTCTTTTCTTCGCCTTTTTTCCTCTAACTCTATCCGGCTGTTTGTCTTTTCTACTGAGAGATGCAAAATACTGTAACATTAACCCAAAAAGAGAAAATGACCAACTTCTGAGTTTGATGTAAGTCAGAGTAAGCTCAGCACCCACTAATGGTGTCATGCCCACTAGTGCATGAAGGCACAATTAAAGGAGTCACACAATTATCTTCAGTGTATGAGCATGGCTAATCTACTATATGCCTTGTCCAAATGTTTGACTTAGTAGTAAAGTTTTAACTCGAAGATATACACATTTAAAAAGACGTTTTGGTAAATTCTGCCCTCACAAATCTCATCACTTGTCTGCCTTTCTGCCTTTTTCCTGCAAACAACCGGCCTGTGACTGTCTGGTTGTGATTTAGTCAACATGGAAAACATTGGGAATGTATGAAAAGTTATGGTGTTCAGGTTGTGCTGAAGACCTTAACTGCTTTATCAGAACCATGTGGCGGCGCTCAGTGCCATGCCATAATGGCATGATTGAAAAGGAGTTAAAACTGTGGTCACAATCCACTCCGATATGACTCAAGAGAGGGTCTCCAAAGTTCAGCACTGTCTCTTTCATAGCGAGTCCATTAACTGTTCCAATACCCACATCATGCAATGGGAATGATCTGATAGAGCCGGGGCTCTTTCTTCAGATTAATGCTGTCATGAATGGGCATGTATAACTGTGACCCTGCTACAGTTGCTGCTGTTTCTATGGTTTCAATTTATCTACTGTAAACATCGGAAAGGAGATTTGTCATATGAGGTCCTAAAGGAAAATTAACTATAAGCGGAGCAAAAAACTTTTTACAGTATAAATAAACCTTTTAAATCATGGCTGTAGCCCGTATTTTTTTCCTTTAATACTTGCGCTAATTGAGACTCAAATGGTAGCGCAAGCGACAGCGAGACAGCTAATTACCATCCTTTGTAATGAAGCAAATGGCAGACACTGTACCCTGAGCCACTGTTATGAGCAACACCCCGCTGTACCAGACATAAAAGCAAACACAAATATCTAATTATGCCGTCGTCTCTCCTCGCTTTCCTCTTCTGTTGCAGACGTTGCATTAATTGGTGGCCCGCACTATTGGTCAGCTTACAATCACTCTGATGATGTGGACAATTAGAGCCGGGAGGTACTCATGGCTCATCAAGTCTGTGATAGTTGACACATCACGTCTCATCTAACTCAAAACAAATGTTATGGAAATGCTGCTGCGGCAGTCCAGGGCCCAGACACGGGATATGTCCTGGCAAAAATATCTTCAATGTGTAGACTGATAAAAAGGAACTGCTGAAAGTCAGATAGTAAGTACTGTATGTTCAAGCACACACAATACAGTAAGGTAGACGTGTATTTATCAAAGCTGTAACATTTTAGTTTGCATAGGGAATAAATAATCATATACAGCAGGTTCAAAGACACAAAGACAGAAACACACACATCATGTCAGCTAGAATCAGTGATTATCTCTGCTTTCATCTAAGGCTGTGGCGACAAAGGCAAACATTTATTTTTTTACTGACAAGCTATGTAAATAAAATCTCATGAAGTGGCTTTATCCTGCCAAAAAGCATTGTAGAGGTCCTTAGTTTCTTTTTATATAAAGTGGATGAACAGTGTTTTCATTCCACTTTTCTCTATCTACCAAACATGCCAGACTGAGGTTAAATTATTTCAATGTTTTGCTTTCCCGCTTGCCACTTGTATCAAGAATCAAGAACAAAGCATAGTATGAACTGACACTAAAAGAGTACACTATCTTAGCTGATTGTCTCGAACAATAAATATTTTGTTTTCCTCGTGCACTTTTAAACTCGACAGACTCACATGCTTCTGATTTGTCATTTGATGCCTTTGCTCTTGCTACTCTGGATCCATGTGTACCTCCCGGGCTCACTGTCAGAGCCCCAGAGACCTTGAAACGACAAAGATTAGCTGATCCAAAGAGTAAATATTTCATGACCTTACAATTACATGAAATCAAATCTAGGCAAAAGCCGTTCATTTATATTGCATTATCAAAGGGGTGGAAGACGGAGGGAAAAAGGGGGTGGAAAGGGGTGAAGTGGGTATATCTATGAACCTCCCGAACTCTAATTAGTCTGTGTGGCCCAAAACAAGAGAGCGAGGAATAAGTGCACGGGCTAGGGATAATTAAGCGATTGTGAGCGGCATGTACGTGAGCTGTCGCTCCAATCGGCAGCCATGTCACACTTGGTAACACAACCGCGACCGGACAGCCGGCCGTCGTCTTTGATCTGGGCTCATGCATACGGAATCAGGTCAGGCTGTGGTCACACACAGTTACACACTCACACACACTCAGAGACAACACACACACACACACACACACACACACATACACTTTAAGCCATAGTAGAGCCTCTTTACAAAGGGCCACAGTGTTAGGACCTTTGTAAAGAGAGACTGACAGTCAAGTATGCACAAGAAAAAAAGGAAGGATAAATGAAAATAATGGAAAAGGGAAGAAGGGGATGAATGTGACAAATCCACTCAAGACTTCAGAGGGACTACTTTTTTTAAACGGGGTTTACACACAAAAAACAGAGCTTAACTTACAGCTTCCGACTTGGGTTTGACCACTTTCATGAATGCTCCTCTTGCCTGCGCCTCCATCCCCTCTTTTATGGTTATTTTCCTGGTATCCAGGAACTTCAGCTGGGGTAACTTGTGCAGAACAAAGTATCTGTGAGAAAACAACAATTCAACTTAAAACTCGTAAACCGTACAGCTGCCATAAAAGGTCTCCTTGTAGGCCTGTTCTTGACAATGACACAAACAGAGAATCTGAGGAAGTGTGTAAACCGTGACACACTAATCAAACTGACACACATTCTAATATGTAAATGCACGCATCAACAAAACTTGAAAAGAAGCCATGTTTACTGAGATTTAATGGTGGTGCTGATTTAATGGTGATATTTTCTTGTATGTAATAACCTTCAAAGCTGATAAGAATAAGTACGACATATAAATAGCACGAAAGGAGATACAACCCGTCTGCCAGAGCTGTCATTCTGGCAGCATCACAGATATCTCTCTAAGCTTTCAGACACACTCTGTCTTTCATTGGGAGGGAGAGAAACGTCAGAAGATAATGGTTGGAATACATAGATGACAACAGATCCTTTCACAGGCAGGCAGGGATAGAGGAACCAGTATGTCAGGCTGAGCTAGTAGCCAAAAAGGACATGCATGCAGCACCTAAGTGGAGGGTGAGAAAGGACGGGGGATATGGGCACAGAAAAGACCTGTGCGCAAAGAGCCGTGGCAAATTGATGATGGCGATGGCGATGAGGGGAGATGGCAAAGCCCGTGTCAAGTTTTCATCACCTGAGGATTATAAGGAGGGGATGCTGGGAGAACGTTTAGACTGACACGGAACAGAAAATATCTCTGTGCGAATTTAAGAATGATCTGATGTCATTTAAATGAAAACATAGAGTGCTTATCTACAACAAAATGATTAAACGCTATGCCATGGCTCTGAATGTATTCTTATAGTAATATTATTACAAGGTAAAATGACCTGCTCCTAACCCCTTATACGAGCATGTTTTCCTATGAGAGCAGTAGCACTCAAATACAAGAGGCCCAAATCGCATCCTGTGTCTCCCTGCCTGTGAAAGGACTTTGTTCAGGGCATTTCCATGATGAAATGTGAAGATGCCCTTGGGAGACATGCAGGGAGGTTATTCTCCATAGGTAACCTACCATCACAGGGTCAGAGCAGATGACAAGGCTCTGTCAGCCAGTAGGGATATTAATGATTCAACCCAACCAAAGAGGGAGGATAAGAGAGCACAGGGGGGTAGGGGGAGGAGAGATGCCTGGAAAAAAAACTCAGACTCATACCCTTTTTTCGAAAAATGTGATAATAATATGATATGTGCTGTTTCAAAGTCAACTAAATGATAATAATTGATTTTTTTTTTAATAATTGAATTGATATGGAAAATTATCAGGTACCCAATTATATATTTTTTAAATGTTTTATTAATTTAATTTGTAATGGAAAATGTAATGCATTTATTTGTATTGAATAGTAACATAGTTTCTCAACTTCTACTGTAATGTTGCCTGTAAATGCTAAATACAATGACATGTTATTTCTTAAAGATTGTAATTCTGGTTAATGTTTAACTAATAGTTAATTAGAAATGAAGACACTAGGAAACAATGGAACCTGCTCAGAAAATTAAGTCATTATACTTAGTATAACATCTATGAAAGAAAAAAAAAAAAAAAAAAAAATAGTTATAGCATTTTTAAATAAAAATTCAGCAGCTGCATTTAAAGCATTTAGAAAACAGAGCACAAAGTGCAGCTGCTGGTTAGGCGCCGCATGGAAAAATTCTTTCATCTGCCACAAAAGGAGATTGAACAAACTGATCATTTTCCTCAAGATAAGAGGTTAAAATGTCACATTAAAATATGTTAATCTTTAAACATCACAGAAACAGAGAGAATGGGATGAGACGTTTTGTGAGGAGACAGCTTCCTGTTAGCACAATGCCACAAAATCAGTAACCATTGTGGTATAATTTAATATAACAGCCTTAAACTCATGTGTTATTGTAGTACTTGAAATGGCCACTGATCGTACGCATGGTCGGCTCAGAACAGGACAACATTTAACCTCGGCGCACACTACACAATACTGTGTGAACGAATACTCTGTTTCTATGTCATTGCACTAATTGGGGCACCGATGCAACGCACCAGGGTATTTCACTTGAGAGACCAGAAGCTCCCGAGGCATTGGGCTGGGTATTTATTGCCCAAGGCCAGTGCTGTCACGACCTGCATACAGCCTAACCTTGTCAGACATGAAATCTGCATCAGACTCAAATTGATGTTTTACTATGTGACACATTATGAATATTACATTACAGGACCCTAGACGTTGTCAGTCAAAACAGAACAGCTTTCCTCACCAGCAAGATAAGCATGCGAGGAGAGGGGAACGGGGGAGGAGGGGAAAGTGAGAGAGGGGGCTGGGGGGGAAAAAAGGTAGACAAAAAGAGAGAAGAAAGATTATTCAAGAAAGGCATGGGTGGTAAATGATTAATAAGCATCGCAGAGTAAGAAACAAGCACTTAGGGCTAAAACAGACAAAAGAGAGTATGCTTTTCGCCTTTTATCGCATTTCATGTAAAGGACCCTGACAAATGGTGGTCATATTGCATGGCTTGAGGCCTCGCTTGATGTTTAATGCATCATCTGCTCTGGTAAGGCAGGGTAGTAAACACTCATTTGTGGTGGTGACTAGTCACACATGAAATCCATTTTGCAAAATGCAGTGTAGAGGGGCCAGTTGACAAAGCTTTTAGAGTGATGTGGTTACATCCACAGTCTGCCTGTGAAATGTAGGGGGCTGGATGTTCAAAAAAGGAACATCTCCAAATCCATTACTTACAAAAAGCTATCACTCTGAATAGCTTAGCATCAAAACTGTCTGACTGAAAGTATAAACACACAGACACGGAACATTATCTATCCATCTATCTAAACGGGTCACAGTAGTTTATTTTTCTTATTTATGTGTTACATCAGCACAGTGGATGTTGTTACTGACCTGTATCTCTGGTAGTCGTCCTCGTCGTTATCCGGGCTGACCAGCTGGTTGGGGCAGGCCTCATTTCCCAGCAGGCTTAGGTACTTCAGTGACGGGGTCACATCAGCCAAGTGTTCCAGCAGGGCCTCGATATCAGTCAGGTGTCAAAGGGCGGATGTCAAGGACCTAGCACTGTTAATTACATTAGCATTTACTACCCGCACCGCCCCTCCCGGGCCTGTCTGCACTAAAACACGTCACTGTCAAATTTACCGAGGTGCTCAAAGGGGCTAGTCACTGGCTTTGTGAGACTGGGCAGACAGAGGGGCAATTTAAGGTGCAGGCTTTGGCATATAGTAGTGACACAATTTGGCTGCTGCTCTCTCTCCCTTTCTCTCGATCTCTTTCATTTCCTAGGTGGCCGGGTGCAGAACAGTGACAAAATGATGGATGCCCTGTGGTTCAAACAGTCCGTGCTTCCCAGAGCCTTGCTGTGGAAAACTTTTGCGAAACGTGGAAAAAACAAACAGCCCCTAAGCAGGCACATTCATCACTAATACATTCACTTGGAAAATTGAGCCCCAAAGTGTCAAAATACAACTGCACTAATGCAGTGCTCGAGCTTTAAAATGGCACTGTGCCACGACAGGATGTACATAATTGGCCTATTAGCATGTGCCGACCACTTCACAACCAAACTCAGCACACAGTCCCAGACGCACACTTCAAGGAGCCCCAGTTTTAATGTTGACTCGGGAAGTGTGTGTGTGTGTGTAGTGTGCGAGAGTGAACATCGTTACCCAGTAGGATCTGCATAACCAGAGGAAAACAGGACACATTGCTAAACCTGTTCTGAAGCGTAGAGGGGAAGTTCACACATTTTTGACTGATCATAAACAGCCTCGCATGTCTTGAATTTAGGGTGGCTGTGCCGAGCTCTGGTTTATAGTGTTCACTGTGGGTGGGAGGTAGAACACACAGCACCGTTGTAATCAATGAGCCTGAATGTGAAAATGTGCATTTAGTTACATATTAAATAACTTATTCATTTTTATTTTAGCGAGGTAACGCATTGTATAAAGAATGAAGCAACTGATGAAAGTGTAAAAAATAAAATCCTTACTTGATTCACTATAATTTATAATAACTGATATTACCAGACAAACCAATCACACAACATTGTGTGTCATTTTTTTTAATGTAGTTTTAATCTAACACTTGATCTTCTTTCAAAATAAAACACATCTGTTATGTTGACTCTAAAAACTGATTCCACTAGAGGTCCCTGTGGTTCAAAAACTCGCCCTGTGTGGAGCTCGGTGACAGCGAGTTCCTCTACTCTCTTTTGCAGCACACAGTGCTCCCTGCAAAAGCACAACATGAAAAAACTGGTTCTCTGAGACAAAGGCGGGCTGTATTGACATATGAATGTTAACAAAACACACTATTGATTTTGATACTGATCCCTGTGATATATGCCTACGTCGTCGGCTGCTAATCAAAATGAGAAATGGACTAAGTGATTAGTTTGAAAGGATATTTGGTTCTTATTGAGTGTAAGGGTGTGGAGGTTGGGTAACCTGGGCAACAGGAGGTCATTTCCAAGCAGATTGTTGTCAACGATCAGCTCTTCCAGCTCAGTGAACATTTCGAGGCCCGCCAGTGACCTGCAATGATAAGGCAACAGGGAAAACTGTTATGGCTCTAAATCTGGTCAGCCGTTATTGTGCAGAAATAAATATTTCAGCCTCTTTCATACGCCGGGAAAGTATGGGTCTGGGCCTGTCAGGGAAGTGAATGACAAGAATTAGTGGTGCTGAGCTCCCCTGGCATGGTGAGGCATCCTTCAGCAGCTGGCAGGATGAGGGATGGGGGTCACTTGTGAGTAGCCAGGATTCAAAACAAAAGGCTTCAGAAATGCGGCGGGCAGGATGAATTTGTCAATGTCTTGTGCCTTGAGGCGCCCAGTTTCGCCTGACCCTAACCCTCCATTCCCAAGACAAATCACTCTGTCACAGTTCACCTTCACTCCCCAGACACAAATTTAACTTGTCATCCATCATTTTCACAGAGGAACCGGAATACACACGCAATCACAGATGGAATGGAAGGGAAACTTTTTTGCAACTCTACCGCGATAGGGGTTAGTGTTGGGATTTTAAGATCAAAGGATGGGTTTTTTTTAAAGGAAGAATTTTGCCTTTCCACTTATTTCTTATGACAAATTGCAACGAGGGCTGTAGGGTCATCTCAACTGTTTCCCTCTCTTTCTCTCTCTCACACACATACACATTCACACAGGCATAAAAATGATGGAGGGTGGTGTTAGGAGTAATGTTAGGGCCCTGCAAAGTTCAAGTCATGGAAGGTGCACAAAAGCAATGTGTGTGTTGTCTAATCCTTCACACTGTCAGAATGCCATGGTAAAGTGTCCTGGTTGACTTAATTGACATTTAAATCTGCCAAAACTTGACACATACTGAACATATACTTCAGAATTATTCCTCACGGTTCACACAACAGGTCTTTTTAATATTACACAACATTTGTAATTATTTCATACTTTCCATATAGTCAATATTTATTCCAAGCTTTATTTCAAAATGCTACATTATAAGTATAGTGTGTTTATAGTTTTAAAAAGCTTGGACATTAGGTTACGTCAATATCAATTCCAGTCAACAGGGTCACATTGCAACATGACAAACTCAAGGTACTGTGAGGTCTTAACATGTGCAGCATGAAATATTACTCCTCTATGGATCTGACTTGTGTGAACAGCTGCCTTAATACACATCAACTTTAAGATACGTCAACATAACAACTTTATCACGACAATCTGCAAATGAATAGCAAGGAGCAGTTAAGTGTGGATGGGGATGGCGTCATTTACAGTCACAATTATAATGGAAACATAACAATATGCTGCCAAATGAAGGAAACAGATGATGAGTAATTGTGATATAATGTAGTTTACAAAAATACACTTTGATCTATTACGTTGTCAAACTTATTTGTCAGTGACGAGCATTTATTCCACACTTTTAGCTAGCCAGACAAACTGTTTTCACGCTCCATCTGCTGTTACTTGTGTGCTTTCTCAACTTGTACTCCACCTAGACTTCGACCCTTCCCTAAAAACACAGACTGATGCACAGAGTGGACACACTGGCAACAATTTTGAACTACAAAGCAAAATGTTGCAGCTTTTGTAGCAGTGTAGAAAACGACAAATAAGCAATTTACTGTGGATGGGGAACGAGGCAGAGTGAGCTGCCTCGTTTCAGAAGACATCAACATTTTTTGCAAACACGCACACTTGATATCAACCACAACCGTTGACAGCACCTAGCCAGTGTGCTGGCAAAGCCGCTAGCTGACAACCTCTTATCAGGTCTGATTAATGCGCTGGCAAAATGGATGAACAGAGAGATGTGCCAGTTTTATGAAATCCTACTCTGTGTGCCTGTTTTTTTCCCATGTTGCCTCTCAGTTATAAAAGGTAAAAAGGCCCATTAGGCAGGGAAAGCTATACTTAAAACTAAAGAATATTCATTATAATTTTTGCCTTTTTAGTTATTCTTTGGTCATTATACTGTTGTTTTTCTTGGATTTAAAAATAAATGCTATCTAACGTAATGAACAATCTATAATTGTTAGTATCATCTTATGCTACTATACTTCTTCTGTTTTTTGACAGGGCTGTTTTCTCAAACTAGCTATTTAAAAAACAAACTTTATTTTTCAGCACAGTGATTGTTTTTGCATTGATAGGGAATTTGTTACAACATCCAATTAATCTGCAAATATAATCTATGGCCATCTGTAGTTGGGCACAAACATTATTGCATTTTCTGTTAACAGAGATTGCTAACTAACTATTGCTGCCTGCGTGTGTGTGTGTGTGTGTGTGTGTGTGTGTGTGTGTGTGTGTGTGTGTGTGCAAGGGGCTGCAGTCCTGTGGGTTATGTTATTAGCTGCTCGGTTAAAGGGAGCCGCGTGGCACAGGAGGGAGCCTTATTAATTGTTGTTTTCATGTCACCACTGCTGCGTGCACTGGCTGATTTAATCAGTTAAATTCACAGCCAGGGGAGAGCCACTGATTCCCATCCAGCATTAACTACAGTGCGGGGATTGAACTTCTAATACTCTGCAGCTTTCTGTGCTCCCTCTGCAGATTTCCTTAGCTGGTTTCATTACTTTTTATAAGCTTTCTTGTTTTAATGTGCAGGCTTGGAAAACTAACAAAGTTTAAGCACTGCAGTAAAAGTACTTTACTTAAAAAAAAGATTGCTGCTTATGCTTTTAACATAACTAAGGGACATTATTTACTTGAGGCCAAATCCTGTAGAGATTTGATAAATGGCAAACAGGCTAAACCTACACAAAACACGCAAATATTGTATGTTTTTATAATGGTAGCTTAATTTGTTGCTATTCACTTAAAGAAAATAGGGAAACTATTCAGTAATATATCTTAAACTCCACTGCGATACTACTGATGTTACAAACATCTAAGTTTACGTTCCTTTATTAAACTGGAAGTCATTTATGTTTATGTATATCGCAAGCAATAACAAATGATGAGCATTATATTTTTAACTAAACAAATAGACAGAATCGTACAAATACTATATGAAAAATAATTGACCCTCTGCTCAAATTGCATCACCCTATTGCACACATTTAGAAAATAATCATCTCTCATGTAACGTGTGATCAAATGCGTTTTTCCTAACCCTCTAACCAGAAAGAGAGAGACAGAGACAGGCGGTAGCTTTAACGAGGTGAGGCGATGAATCCTCTCCTTGTTAAGATAATTATGATCAGCCTCATTGTCAGAGCTAATACTTCACACGTCTTTACGCTTTGACTACCACTTAGCCTGTGTAAGCTCAACATCATACATCATACGGCCCTGTGTGCATCACTGTGTGCTTTTGAGCTTACATAAGTAGTGCATGTATGTGTTGAAATCTCCATTCTCTGCTAGGATCATGTCTACTGAGCACACACAGTACATGTACCAATATTTAGCTGGAGCAGAAACTCGGCACAGGAAGCCGGGAAGGGTGTGAGACAGCAGACAAGGACACTGGAGAGGAGACACTGACCCAGAGAGCAGCCCTGCCAGATCAATACACTAATACTAATGCAGACATCGTGATTGATGAACCACTGCCGACAACAGAGGGAATAAAACTCTCGACTATTATTGGCTGAAATGTCAGTCACTCCTGCCAATGGTTTGCGCTAGTGTCATGTCATATATCCTCATGCAGCAGATGAATAATGGAGAACGGCAGCCTTGGCTCTTTTACATGTGTCACAAACACTCTCCCATCCTATGTCTGCTGCTTTTGAAACTGTTGCTTAAATGAATTATAGTTGGTCATTTAACTATGAATAACAAAGGTCAAATGGAGTTTGTCTTGGGCGTACATAACAGAGCTTTAATGTAAAACAACCTCAAAGTTGACCCCTTTATTAAAATGTTGATATAGATCACAGAGGAAACAGCCTTTCATCTAGCACTGCAATACTGAAAAGTTACTGAGTCCAATGTACTTAGGAAAAAAACACTTTTAAAAGCCGAAGAGCCCTTGCAGCTGCAGTCCACAGTTAAAGGCTGATGTTCTCTAAAGGGTCGCAGCGGTGCAGAAAAGCAATGCACTGTTATTCTAAACTGGGGGCCAGAGCTACAGAGTGACAGGCATAATGACGTCCTGTTCAGAAGGCAACAGATAAATGTTTGATGAATTGACCAATACTGGAGCCATGATGGCCTTCATATGTGCATAATGGACTATTCAAAGCACCCTTCAGATTGCCTGCCAGGATAAGGTACTGTAATGAATGGGAATAGGAACCGGACCTGGGAAACACAGTATGTGGACTGGCTTTAATAAACTTAATAAGAAAGGTGAATGGAGGAGGGCTGCTTAGAGAAAGAAGAGGAGGACAGTCAAGACATATTCTGATGGCTTTTGCCACTCTGCACACTGCGAATCAGCTCTCAATCTTAATCAGTAACTCAGCAAATTGGCCATATACCCAAATTATTTTCACTTAAGAAAACCGAGGTATTTATCTGACAGTTTCCAATAGGAATATACTAAACCTATTTGTTTTTGTAGTAGAATAAAGCGATCGTGAGTGTGGAAAATGCAGAATGATAGCACATATTCAGCTTTGTGTGACAGAAATTGAGGAAAAAATATATCCTATTACGTCAGTAGGTCTTCATTAGTGTAACACGGCTGTACTTCATCACTCTAACCCACAACAAAAACACAAATAAACATCCAAAAATACAGCATCAAAACACTATCAGGATTAGCTTGCGGTAAATAAGATGACATTATCTGTAACGCATATTAATGCCATGCAACCCCTCAAGTCCTCCAACATCCCTCCTACCACCTCCACACAGCGCTGATCAGGTCTGTTCCAGCACTCTTGCCTGCAGCTACACTTTATGGCCTATACGCGCCTCTGTACATGCATCTCGATGGCGATGGTGAATTAGACTGTCATTATCTGTCTCTATCTCCCCCACAGCTCTCCCTTTCTCACCCTCACATGTAGACAGTCAGTGCTCAGTGTGGCACTCCTCTCTCTGTATTTCCAGGCCTCAGGTGGCAGTCATTTAAAGATCACACGTCCA